CCCCAAAACCCCAAAACCCCTCGACTATTTATTCCAATGTAAAAGTTTTGTCATGAATTATAAAATTTAATATTTAAAATTTTTATATTATAAATCATTATTGTTCATGAAATTAATTAATTTAGTAAATACATTTATAGGTGTAGTTAATATACTTTCATGCATTTAATTCTTTGCCATAAAGATTCCTCTCAACAAATGTTAATGATAACAAATCGGACAAAAGCCTCTCTTCTCTCTAATTGTTAAAATTAACTTCATCGACTATCTACTCATCATCATCTGTTAGTTCAAACTTAGATTCCTCAATTTCATCTATCTTCATTTCTTCTATCAAATCATCTAAGTACTTCATCTGCTTTTTATTGATGTAAGATATTTATCGTTCTTGCGGCTATGAAATCTCGTCATTCATCTATTCAGGTCCAGTTACTTGAATCTCAGGGGCACTATCCTTTCTAGTTTACCCTCCACCCTTCTTTTCTAAATTAAGGATATTCAATGATTTCTTATTTTGAGTATTTGATCGATTATAGTTTTAATTCTTAACCAATTAATGAGAGGAATCTTCTAGTCCAAGAATCCTGAAATTACTTAAATCTTGAGTAGAAAGGAAACCAACTGTAGTCTAGGTTCCGTTTGCACCGGAGTTTGGCTATAGTCTTACTCCTCTTTCCTTCTTTTTACATTGATAATAGGCATATCTAATCCTCCAAAAAAGCCTCTTGGCAACTGTTACTAATTATGCAATAAGTGAAATCATATTTATAATGCTGACAGTGGTAATTAAAGATAAAATGAACCAACCAATATCGTATCTTAGGTATGGATCAAGAAAGGCATCAGTAAAAATTATCATGATTTGAGCTGTGAAAAGAACTAGAGTTTCATTTAATATCTCAATATAATTCAATTTCGGAGTTTCAAATGGTTTCACAAGAATCAAGTAAATCATTTGAAATATGGAACTTAAGATATAGATTATAATCTGAGCATGAGGCTATTATTCATAGACAAATATCGAAAATATAAAAGCAAGTCTCCTCAGAAAATATAGAGGATAATACATTAAACTCCAAATGCTATCAGTTCTTAAATCTTTCAAAATGGTATGATACTTTTCCTTCTACAGAGCTTTGATGACTGGTTTTTTATAAAATAAATAAGCTGAAGCAAATGGCACAATTATTGAAAATATCTAGAATATTAATGAAATAGATATTTTACTATTGTAAGCACTGCTAAAAATGAAGAAAAATTAGTGCCTGGAGTTTATTTCAAATGTATATCGGTTAAATTTATACCTGAACTCAGTATTAAGTTAAGATAAAGCTCAATAAACAGCCTTAGTGGAAAATTGTAGATCATTGATCTCGCTAATCTTCTCATTAAATCTTTGAATTTGATAAATCTAAAGGATATAAAAAGAAAAAAAAGTTTATTACCTTTTAAATTTATTGCCTAAGTATTTGAAAAGGTAGCCCATTCCTATAATTAAAGGCAAGAAAACAATAATGACTATATTGATTCCTACATTTAATAGAAAAACTTTAGTCTCGTAACCGAAATTAAAGAAATCTTCGTTGTAAGGCTCAAAGTAACCATATAGCTGAAAGAAGTTTATGACTAAGTCATTGAATTAAGATATATCAAATCTTAGTGAACCTCCAACTAGCAAGAAGAAGTAGTAAAGATTTGAGGGTGGGTTTATAGTCATAAGTGGCATTGAGGTTATTATTTACTAAGTGTTTACTAAACCCCAAAGGATCTAAAATGATTATGATATAATAATCTGTGTTCCAACTTAAGTAAGCAGCAAGGATGATAATGTAGTGTTGAAGAATTTAGAGAGTCTTTATAGTATTTCATTATCATCTTAGTAAATCTAAGGAGGAACTGTTTAAGTTAATGATACAGGATTATTTGAGCTTTGAAAGAACAGCGAAGGTTGTAGAATAACTAATTGGAATGATGTAAGTGGCTAAATAATTATGTAAATAAAAACAATGGCTTACTTTACTGAATGAAATTATAAGAGGATTTAAGAATACAATTCTCAGTTGCATATACTTTGAGGTTGCATTGACAAATTATAGTTCAAATTTAATACTAGGGTCAGCAAATCTAAGATTAAATACCTGAGATATATTAGCTTTTAAGTAGTCAATTTATGATTTATTTAAGGAATTCTCAAATTTAATACTGAATTCCCCAGTTGGACTGATGCTGCTTACACTAAATTAGTCGCTTTATTTAATGGTATTCTTGAGACCATCTTATACCTGCAATTCATATTTAGCTTTCTCATCTTAAACTGGAGGTTTTTAAACGGTTGATTTAAACGTCACAAATAAATGATACTCATTGGACATTGGCATAATGGGATTGCTATCTGTCAGTATGAGAATTAATCAAGTTAATCCTGCTCCAATCCCTGCCTTTATCTATAAATTTTTGTTATCTACAATACTGAAATAATTCTTTAAATTCTAATCTGCAGGATAAACTTTAAGTTTGACTGTGTCTTGGGGATTTGGGTCATAATAATCAGGCAGTCTCATTATTAAGTTACTTCCAGTTATCAAAGTAAAATTGCTAGGATTCGAAAAAAATCGTGGAGGTTAATTTGGTTGCTAAACTGATTATGTAACTTGAGGTTATGTAATATTACTATTTGTTTGATTAGTTTGATTTGTGTTATTATTTGTACTGTTATTTAAATTAGGATTATAAGGTTCAACATAATCAGCTCAAGACTTTATACTTATATTTATATCAGTGGAATTTGTAAGTCCATCTGGTATAGAACAGCTCAATTTTAAAGTATAATTTCCTCTCTAAGAAAGGAATAATGAAGAAACCAAGACTACTTCTGAACTTGAAACATATTTAAATAATGCTGTGATAAGACTTGTTCCATCTTTCATAGTTACAGTTTGAGTCACTTTAATATCAGAGCATTCTTGATAATAACTGCAACTTGCAGTACTTATGAGTAATGCTATGTCTCCAAGGTAGTACTCATAACTTTCACTCATTTATGGTAGTAATATCTTTCTATTCACTTGATTGATCAATTGAACACCTCTATACATTTAAAGTTGTTCAATTTCTTGATTATTTTGTTAGAGATTTAAGGCATAAAAACCATTAAGCAAAGGCGCAATAGGATCTATGAGAAGAGCCATAAAATTGAGATAGCCAGTGGATACTGATATTTTTACTGATCCTACACCCTCAATATAATATGGCATTGGCATATCTATAACAAAAGCATTCTCATAAGAATACTGATTTCCTACTATAGAGCCACCTAACACTCCACGATAAATATCAATGAATTTAAAGTAATAAAAGAAGATTTGAAATCCATTGAATCCTGAGTATAAACAGCTGAAATCCAGTTACATATTACTGTTATATGTCAAGTCTATTATGTTATAAGAAGAGTATACCGGCTCATTTCAAGAAAATAAAGAAACAGCTAATTTGCCTTACTTGAAATCCAATAAGTGTCCACCGCAAAGTATACCATTATAATCGATGAACCTGAAGTTATTGTAAATAGCAAAGTTAGAAACAGATGTTTTATAATCTTCAGAGATTATTGTCATAAAAACATCATTGAGTGAGTATCTGATGTAAGAGAGGCATAGAGCATAATATCTAGAGTAATAAAATTACATTAATTATGAATACCTTATACTTTAAGTTTTATCGTCGTCAACTGACATGTAATTTGCAGTGGATATTAGTTTGCTGATGTTCATATATCTATCTATTCTTGTAACATCATTATCCATTTTGATTAGAAATGTAGTATATTCGATCTATTATAAATATAAGATCAGTAAAGATATAATACCTAAGAGAGCAACATGAGAGAATTATCTAGGAAATGAGCTTAGACCACAAATTAGTTATTTTTCTTGTATGATTGTATATCAAATATGAAGATGCTTATTTATCTTTAAATCTATTAAAGAGTTAACATTAAGTTTATTACAGGCTTGTACTTGCCAATAAAATGGGAATTTAGATAGTAGCCTTCAAAATAGGTATTGTCGGCGTCTTTAGAGATTATGAATTTGATAAAGGAATATTCGGCAATTATACATCCTTTATCTGTGACTTCTCCATTCTAAGTATTTATTTTGAAAAAGCAAGTCTCATTTGAATTGATTAAATCTAAGGAGGACTCATCGTCTGCAAGCTTGACCTTCATAAATATATTCACTTGATCCTTATAATATTGCTTTACAACTTTTCCGAATAATGGATTCAGTTGATCATTAAATCTCTAAAAGAATACATAGTAGCCAGTTTAGTTAGTACCTAATGAGTCTCAGTAATTCTATGCAATAGATCCTATAGCAACATAGCCTGCAGACTTAATAAGAGGAAAGGCCTAGTTGTATCTGATCTGATTTGTATCGTAATCCTCCTTGCTTACTCCAAAAACGTTACTGTTTTGACTTAAACACTAGGTGCACTGAGAAAATTGAAATCTTTAGATTTGTAAAAATAAATAATGGAATGTTACAAGAAAGTCAGTGATGCTAGTAAGATAAGCTCATATTTATTAGCTTTAAAACTTTTGCAAGTTTTTTTAAAACTCATGTCTAAGATCTCTTTTTTTAATATATATGTAATTAATAATATTAATAATTAAAATCTGTAAATAAGACTATATTGATTCTCGGGGTTTTGGGGTTTTGGGG